CATCATGACGGGAGATGTAGTCCACCATATGAAATGGCAGAGGAAGCCTGCCCCAGATTGAACTTAAATAAACATGTTGCGTTGCCATGGAATTTCTAAGGTGTTACATAGGACATTATTACATCAATTAAGAATTCCGTTGACATGGGCATTGACCACTGAAGCCTCTAAATCTGTTATCATCATGTGTTCATGCTTCCACAAACTGGGATTGGCCGTTTCATACAAAGTATCCACTATGAGATAGTCAACCTTATTTCAGACATTATTTAAAAAAAATACATTATTTGCCAAAATCAACACTGACAAACAGAAATGTAATTAATTTCACCCCACGCTGTCCAAACCTCTCCAATTTTTCTATCTTAGCCAATAAAAACAGGATGTTACATGTAAAGCAACAAATTATGGAATTATTCGCAAATCCTTCTTTTTTTTCTTCTCTCACTTTCCTATGTATAGTTCTAATACCGGCTAAAATAACTTCACACTATTGATTATCTTGGAAACAACCTCTGGATGTATGTTACATAGTTACATAGGAATCTACGTTGAAAAAAAAGACTCAAGTCTATCAAGATCAGCCTTGAAAAATGTTCCTCTCCCAGAATCCTCTCCTCATCGCTGCCTAGTTTTTTGGCTCATATTTCAAACCAGTAAGGCTGGGTGATTTGTCCTGTTCTAGATGGAGGTGATACAGATGATGTGTCTGTGGCTTATGAACTAATAAGGGATAATTTATGAGTGGAAGGGTTATCATTGTCTGTCAATGGAGGGGAGCGTGCATTTGGCCAAAATGTTTTTGAGAGAGTTGCATGTCTGAGATACAAATAGGATCCAGGATATTCACTCCCTTAGACAAGCACTGTGCTTTTTTGACTTCTCCTAATTTTCTTAAGAGCATTATGCGAGATGTCCACAAAAAACACTGTAACCCTTAACTCAGCTATATACTGGTCATTATGGGGGATGTAGTCCACAACATATGAAGTGCCAAAGGTTGCCTCCCTCTGCTCTAGTCCATATCAGAATAATTACTTTTTCAGACACAACCTGATATGATCATCCAATCAATGTTATCCAGATATTCACAAAATTGATATTGCAAATGTGAAAGTGAAACTTCCGTATATGAAAAAGGCGAGCGGGGGGCAGAGGGGGCAGAGTTTTGGTCAAGCATCTCGTAAATGGTTTCACTCAAAACTTGGGAGGCAATGCCTGTAGCCACTAGCATCATAAACACTATACCTGCACGCAGTGGCCATAGTGCGCCACCTTAAAGCTATGTATAGATGGGAGGTGAAGATAGGGTTAAGAAAATGCTAACAGTTTAAAAGTAAGAATATAAAATCCATAGACCCACCCTCATATATTACTGTTGTAAGTAGGAAGGGATAATGTGGTACATTTTTATAGAGTACAGGATTACGGTTTTAAGCTTGCTGTTTCCTTTGAAAGGGTTTGGTCTTCCTCCACACACACAAAAAAAATATATATATATTTAATGTCCCATGATGCTTTGGAAGCCAGACGGTGTGCGATGGTAATGGCACAAAAGGAAAGAGGCAGTAAATAAATTCTACTCGTTATATTTGCCTTTTGAGTCTAGTAATTGAGCTGAAGCCTTCAAAATATTAATTGCAGGATTCTATTAATTGATTTGTTAATTGCGTAAGCCTACACAAAGTCGAGCAAGTCCTACATTAGAAATACAGAGTATGTACTTAAGGAAACCGAAAAGTTACAGTTATTTTTTTAAGTAATATATACTGAATGATTCAAAATATGTTACAAAAGTCATTACAGGAAAAAAAATGTCTCTGTGGCGTAAATACGGATTCAATTCCACACCATACAGAGGGTTGAATTGCTCCTAGCATACCTGGACAAAAACTCTGTGCGTACTCTTCAAATTCATGGACACAGGGGTCGTTAGGCTGACTTTAATTTAATAAAAGCTGGAGAGTTTATATGGTTTGTGAAATCATTCTGTAGGTACACTGCTTTACAGTTAAACATAATGGAGGTAAAGAGCAGGTTTAAACCTGAACGGAGAGGTGAAACATGAAATATTGAAATGAAAAAAAAATTGACATTTTCCAAAGTCATGTAATGCTGACATCATATTCCCAACTGAATTGATTAGTAGTCATATTTTCCCTCAGTAGCAGAGTCACATTCCGAGCATGTTGGTGTGTCACAGATTGGCCAATTTTCATCTAGTGGTAAGCGATCTCCATTCCAGAACATGCGTCACAAAATGAAACTGACCATCCGACTGCTGGTGGTGAAAGAGATGCTATTTAAATCTTCGCATGCATGTAATTGTTAGTTTGAAAAAAAAAAATTAAAAAAATTCTGGTTACTGGTGTATTTCTTTTTGTTTAAATATCTATGAAGGCATCACAATCATTCCGGCATGAGTCTTTTCAAGGCCTTACTCCATCTGTGTATCTAGAGTAAGAAGTCCACCTGATGGTTTGACCACTAGACCCAGTAGCCAGTGTGTGGCAGGTCCTCCGTATCAGATCTATGATAACCCAGTACAATGTAGAATGTAAACTCGTTTGGGTCAGGCCTTCAGCCCCTTCTGTTCCTGTGTATCCAACTTGTCTGGTTACAAATACATGTCTGTTAGTCCACCCATTGTACAGTGCTGCAGAATTTGTTGACACTATATAAATATTAACAATAATAATAATACATTTGTGCAAAAGCTGGAAAATTTAACAAGCGACTGCACCATGATATTTTTTTGTAACAGAGTATTTCTTTAACAAACATAATAGGACTACTTTATTGATAATACCATACTTTCAAAATTTCAGATTAAAAGCAAAAAAATGCAAGACAAAATTCATATTAGCCCGTTAACTTTGTTATTAAAGCGGCAATGTCATGCCGAATCCCGTTTTTTTTTTAACCCCCCTCCCGCCTCCACTACATCCAATTGACCCACTAGTCACCCCCAAATGCCCCTAAGCCCCCCACATTACCTATTTTTTAATCCTTATTTTCTGCCCCGATCTTGATTCAGGGCGCAGCCATCTTTGTGTGGGTAGGTGAAGTCCCTCAGGGACACGTCATCAGCCCACACTAGGCAGACACTGAGATTCCCGCACATGCCCAGTGAAACACCTGGGCATGCGAACGGGAATTTCAGCTATTCATTCATTCATCAGACAGACGAATGAATGAATAGAAAGATCAGCCGAACAAACTAACACAATGTATCAGTGTTAGTTTGTTTGTTTAGTTTATTACAAGGAGGGAGCTACCGGTGTGCAGCTCCCTCCTTGTAATATGTAACTATAGAAGCGGCAGGGAGCAGTGCTCCCCACCACTTCATAAGCCCCCCCCCCAGTACCCCCTCTCACTCTATGGGGGTCAATATGACCCCCATAATAGCACAAGGGATATTAAAATCTCCCAAATGCCCCTACTCGCTATACCGCGAGTAGGGGCATATCTACTAAACAGTGAGCAGCCTATGGCTGCTCACTGTTGAAAAAAAAGACATAAATTACAATAAGGGGGGGGCGGACCTATTGTCCTCCCCCCTCCCCCACCCTGAGTGGCGGGTGGGGGCCATGAAGATAATGAGGGGGGGGGGACCTACTGTCCTCCCCCCGGCCCCCACCCCTGAGCGGTGGGTGTGGGCCCTAATAAAACAATAAGGGGGGGGACCTACTGTCCTCCCCCCCCGGCCCCCACCCCTGAGCGGTGGGTGGGGGCCCCAGTAAAACAATAAAGGGGGGGGACCTACTGTCCTCCCCCCCTGGCCCCCACCCCTGCGCGGTGGGTTGGGGCCCCAATAAAACAATAAGGGGGGGGGACCTACTGTCCTCCCCCCCCCGGCCCCCACCCCTGAGTGGTGGGTGGGGGCCCCAGTAAAACAATAAAGGGGGGGGACCTACTGTCCTCCCCCCCCTGGCCCCCACCCCTGCGCGGTTGGTGGGGGCCCTAATAAAACAATAAGGGTGGGGGGATCTACTGTCCTCCCTCCCGGCCCCCACCCCTGAGCGGTGGGTGGGGGCCCTAATAAAACAATAAAGGGGGGGGACCTACTGTCCTCCCCTACCCCTGGCCCCCACCCCTGAGCGGTGGGTGTGGGCCCTAATAAAACAATAAGGGGGGGGACCTACTGTCCACCCCCCCGGCCCCCACCC